AATGAAAAAAAGGTATTATCTATATAAATAAAAATGTAAATGTCCGTTTATACATAACCACACATCTCTGAAAGTTCTTCACCGATTGCTTTCAAATTTTGACACAACGTTGCATTCGACTACGGGCATGTTTTTATATATCTATACATGTGACACCTGTGACAGGTAAAAACATGAAAAACATTGGAAAACATTGAAAGGCATTGACAAACATTGAAAAACAGCGCCATCTGCTGGACATAAAACTAACATGGCAGCCTCCCAGCCCTGATTACGCTCAACAGTTTTCTGCTCCTTATATTTAGACTCTCCATATTGCTTCCAAGAAACTGTGCATTTGGAAGGCAGAGACGCCCGAGAGCCATATCCTGCCACCAGGCTCGGCAGGTAGCAAGCCGGCTCCCCGCCGGGAAGCCCTCGCAGCCGGCGCTTCTAGGGCTGGGTGAGGCCCTCCTGAGCTTGGCTCTGACCTCCCCCTCCCCTGGCCACCCCACGAACTAGCCTCACCTGCCACTGCTGCCCATCCCCCTCGCCAGCCACTCTCAGGGCTCCCTCCAAAGAACACCTGGCAACGAGGCTGCCTGGGTCTGCTGAGCAGGAACCCTCCGTCCCTCACCTGGCCTGAATCGCACCTGGCTCAGCGCTACCACAGGCGCCGAGGTCAGAAAGACCAGTCGCTAACCGGCGCTATGCGAATACGGTCGGTGAGCGGGAGATGGAGGCAATTGGAGCCTCGGGGTTGCCTTTGACCAGTGTCACCTTTGATTCCCAGGTGGGCGCTCTGGCAGTTCACGGAGCCTACATGAAAATTTCGGCCTCTGGCAGAAAAGGGGCTCCGGGGAGGCTTCGGGGGGTGGAAACAGTCAGGAGGGAGGATGGCCAGCCCTCCTTCATTTTGCTTGGAAGAGCGGGAGATTTAATCCTTCCCCTGCCCTTGGCAGGTGGGGGAAGAGAACTGTGCCGCAGGGGTCCACTGGGGTGTGCGTGGCTGCTGGCTTTGCTGCTTTCTTCCTTTGGCTGGGAAGCCCCAAACCAGCCTCGAACCCCCGCCACACAGCCTCCCTCCCTCCCTTCCCTTCCCTTCCCTGCTATGCGTCTCCCCGTCGAGCCCCCAGAGAACATCTGTGTAGGGAGGATGGAGGGCCCCCCTGAGTTTCTGCTGTGGTGCAGAGAGCTGCGAAGGCCTGGCCTGAAAAGGTAAGGGCAATGGCAGGGGATGCAGAAGAGGCCGGGCCAGAGACAGAGATAAACAGAGAGAGAGGGAGAGAGAGACATAGAGAAATACAGAGAGACGGAGGGGTGGAGAGAGACACATACAGAGATACAGAGAGAGAGGGTGGGAGAGAGACAGAGAGAGGGGGGAGAGAGATACATAGAAAGATACAGAGGGGGGGAGAGAGAGAGACAGAGAGAGATACAGAAGGGGGAGAGAAAGAGACATAGAGAGATACAAAGAGAGAGGGAGAGACAGAGAGGGAAGATTTTGTGGTTCCCATTCTTTTTTAGCAACCGGTTCTCTGCCCTAATCTAGCTGGGTAGGCGTGGCTCGGGCTGTCATGTGACTGATGAAAGTGAGTGACATCGAGTTGGCCATGCCCACCAAATGTTCATGGAGACTTTGGAACTTCAGCCTCACTCTTTTAGCCCAGCGGAAGCACCAGACTGGGCCACAGCAACACGTGGCCGGGTACAGCTAGTATTTTGATAAATTTGGTTTTGGTTTTGCAAGCCAGCATGTTGTGAGGAAATTTAGTGCATCTAAATGGAACTTACACAGTTATTGTTAGTGTGGAAGTAATATTTCAAGTTGTTTTTCTGTGAAGTATTGTCGATACAATTGATGTTTGATTGTTTTGCTTTTCATAACTTGGAGAGTCTATTGTTCTGAACCGCAGACATAGTTCTTTGTAGTGAATTTGCATTTACTAACATGGAATGTTAGAGAACCTGATAGACTTCTCACCATCTGATTTGATGCACCGATATTTTCTGCTTCAGCAAAGTTCCCGTTATTGGATTGCACAGCTTTTCTGATAAATTACTATTTATTCCCAGAACTTTGAAAGTGTGGTTCTTTTAGTCACCTGTAAAAGAGCTATACTTTCAAACAGATTTGGGAATAAATCTTTTCCTCTTGCACAAAAGGGTTTTCTGTGGCTACCATAAACCTTGTTGGTTAGGGCATTCAAGGGAAAGGTAAAGTCAGTTTTTCTTAATTGCTCAGTTTTGTGAGGTTTTCTTTTTTAATATGACAATTCATTAAATATAGAATCTCCTAAAATTTGGAAGGAATGAAATACTCATTTAAAAATTCAGATAAGACAGATTTTTCAATCATTCCATAAAGGCAGTTCTCAGATAAATAAATAAATTTATTTATAAATAAATAAAGCAGAGGGTAAGAAATTGAAAAGATTCTTAAACGGAGACACATATTGTAAATGAATAACAAATCAGTATATTCTGGATGCCTGCACTGATGACAAAATTTGGTTTCAGTTATGATTTGGTGCTTTTATTTAAACCAGTTCAGAATTTATTTGCTTCATCTCAGGGCAAATGTTGCAATATGTAAATTTTGTGTGCGTGGCAAGTGGTCAAAGGGTTAAATTTGCAAGAGCATTTACAAGCTTTTGGAGTGAGGCTCTTTTCAGTTTTAGGCTTTTGAAACATGAACAAAGTCTGACATTTGTTGACTTGGGACAAAATTAAATGACATTTTTATCACAAATTATTGCCACTGTGAGGATAATCCTACCAAATTTCACATAGAGGAATTGTGAGTTTTAATTATAGGTTTGTTTGTTTTTGTGCGTAAATGACTTTGCAGTAAAATATTATTTATTAATCTTCCTCTTACCAATGGTCAATGCCAGTGAATTATAGGGTGGGAAGAGGCATTTTGAAACGTCTTTCAAAAACTACCCATGCCAAAATCCATAGGATTCCTGCATCACGAACCTAGCAATCAGCAGGGAGAAGTGATGATCTAGGAGGGGAAAATAACTCCTTAGTAAGCTGCTTGGAAAAAAGAGGTGGAGGAGTTTTGTTGGATATGTACCAAACCTTATGATATTTTCTTTGAAGATATTTATTTAAGCAAATACAGTTAGTCCTCGACTTATGGCGACAATTGAGCCCCAAATTTATGTTGCTAAGTGAAACATTTGTTAAGTGAGTTTTCCCCATTTCACAACTTTTCTTGCCAGAGTTGTTAAGTGAATCATTGCATGTATTAAGTTAGTAACACGGTTGTTAAGTGAATCTGAATCCTCATTAATTTTGCTTGTCAGAAGGTCGCAAAAGCAGATCACACAATCCTGGGGTACTGCAACTGTCCTAAAATATGAACCAGTTGCCAGGATCATGCGACCATGGGGATGCTGCAATGGTTCTAAGTGTGGAAAACGGTCATAAGTCACATTTCTCAGTGCCATTGTAACTTTGACCGGTCACTAAATGAATTGTTGTAAGTCGAGGACTACCTGTAGTTTGAACTGCAATGGTTCCTCAATCTCACTAAACTAGTTCTTTGCTGCTGTTTTATGGCTACCTGGATTTTTGTAGCTGAGACCTTGTAACCCTATGAGTGGAAAATTAATGGATTAGTTTGTTGTTGACCTTGATCTTTTTCTCCTTTTATACCTTATGGTACAATTTAAAGAGAGATTAAAGAGTGCTTTCCTAAGAATTGAAACACAGTGCCTAACTTTTGGCAATAAATCTGATAAAGAATTCCATGCGTTTTTTATATCATGTTTGACCCTTTGTTTTCAACCTGGGTTGAAAACAAACAGCCTGTCTCAGGAATTCTGGGAGTTGAAGTCCACAGGTTGTAAAAGGGCCACAATTGCCCACCCCTGGTCTATAGCATCTGTTTCTGCAGGGCCCCAAGCCTCTCAACTTACTTTGTCACTACGGAGAACATCTACTTTGCATTGTTAAGCCACAGATTTTGCCCAAGCCATCTACATCTGGTCAACATTTAGGGTCATCTCAGGCTACCAGAAGATGGCAAGAAAGCTGTGCAGACAACTCTTAACATTTTGCTGCCATCTAGTGATAAGATGTACTTTGCAGAATTGGCCTGCCAGTTTTAGAGTTGCCTGAATTGATATGTGCCTTTTAATTGAATGCTCTGCCTCTAACCCGTACATGTACAGGTAGTTCTGGGAAAACAGCACAGCCAGATAAAAATATTACTTAAAAAACCAGGTCTTTACTTGGTTTGTAGTTATATATGCATATTTTTTTTTTTACATCTGACAATTGCCTCCTTCTTCAAAATTACATAGAAACAGTATGTGCCCGTTGTCTTCTAGCATGGGATTGTATTTATGGAAAGAGCCTAAAAAGAGAGGAACAGCTCCAGTCTCATTCCCAGGATGTATTAGAATCCTTCCCCTTCATGGACACATCATCTTTTTTTTTTTTTTTTACTGAAGCTCTTTACTGAAACTGAAGCATTCATGACAAAAAAAACGAATCAAAGAGAAAAGAAAATCAAAGAAAGAAAAGAGATAAGAACCAGTGTAAGTTGAACATGACTTTTGGAAGCAAGTTAAAATAAATAAATGAAAACAAGACCTAGTATATTGAAATTGATTGGTTAGTCACTAACCTGACATTGAAGGATATGCCCTCCATGGAGAAATGTAGGTTAAGCTGGCTGGATGCGATATACTCCACCCTGCTATCATTTGCTAGCTTGTGGTAGATAGGAGGTTAATTGCACACTGATTATCTAGGCTCATTGCAATTAATGAAGCAGTTCTCTTAAATGTATGTGGATCAGTCATGGAGGTACTCTTGCACAGTTTTCAATTAACTTTCTAGTCTAGCTGGAAGGAACAAAGGTCCGGTGAAGGGAGATGGGAAAACCAGATTTGGTACCGAGAAATTCACGTGCCTTGGGTCCACTGGGTAATGCATCAGCAGGCAGTAATTTGACTGTATTAATGTATTTTGTGTATCTGTATCTCTTTATATACATTTTACAGGAGATTATGTGGTGATGGCGGTCTATTTTGATTTAAGCAGAAGGATGGGCTATTTCACCATTCAAACGTATATCCCCTGCACGCTCATTGTAGTGCTCTCCTGGGTTTCTTTCTGGATTAATAAGGATGCTGTACCAGCCAGAACATCTTTGGGTAGGTCATTGCTTCTTTATCTTTTTAGTAGCCATAAAACCTCTATAACAATGTGTTAGCTTATACAAATTGCATAGATGCGTAGATCCAACGTGACATACATTTAGAATGCTGCTTTAAAGCTTTTGCCCTATTAAAATCTAGAGAAGCACAATCTAATGCTCTCATTGGAATTCTCCAAATAGGCTCCAAGAAGCTCAAAACTTTATTACTTTCAGATCAGCAGAATAGAAATGAGAAAGTTTGTAGCTTTGTTTCTCTCGGTCCTCTTCCTGGTCTTGCTTTTTAAAAACATATGCTTTCTGTTATAAGCAATGGTAGGACATTATTTTGACTGGGCCAGTAGAATTTCTAGATTAAAGGCATGGTGTGGGATGTTTAACATCCTTAGCTCCCCTACTCCCCCCATTTTATTTCTTTTGCTAACTTTGTTATGATTTAACAAGATTTCCAAACTAGGTTCCCCAATTCTGAAAAGAGTCAGTCTTGTGGGCTGGAAAGAGCCTGGATCCAATGTAACATTCCCCTTTCTTGTATGGCTTGTATGGAATACTAAACTAATTGGGCTTACAGAATAGCAATATCTTAATTATAGTAAATATTTTTTTCTATCATTTATCATTTGTGTGTCTCTGTGTGTGCCTTTGAGTCAGTTTTTGACTCCTGAGAATTACCTGTATAGGTGTACAGTATATAAGTGTACAGAACCCTTGCCGTGTTCTTGGCAAGGGTTTTTTGGAAATAGTTTTCCCTTGTCTGCTTCCTAAGGCTGAGAGAGAGAGAGTGGCTTGGCCCAATGTCACCCAGGTAGTTTTGTACTTAAGGTGGGACTAGAACTCGTGATCTCCTGGTTTCTAACCTGATCCCTTTAACCACTACACCAAACTGGCTCTCCAATATACATTATCCACAAATTATTTTCAAGAGCATTGTATAGAACATTGGACAGACTTAGTTTAAACTGGGAAAACTGTGAGCATCCTAGATCAAGCCAAGTCCAAAAATGCTAGAAAATTCCTGGAAGCCTAGCATTCAGACTAATTGTCTATCAGCAGACACATAAACAACATTTATATACCATTCAAAAGAGACAATTAAAAAGTCCAAAAGGAAACAAAGACACAAAAACAGCTCCTTTCCAGCATACAGCGTCCAGATGAGCAGAGGTTAACACCAGAGTTAATACTAGAGCAACAATCAAGAAGTAAACAATACTTCAATCAAGGAACTACCAACTCAGACAAACAAGCCAACAGTAAATTGTAACCTAATCCAGGAACCAACAAGATCACTCCCATTTACCTGAGAGGGCAAGCCACTAGCATATAAAATGAGAACAAACCCCACTCCCTTGTAGCACTGATGTTGTTACTTAGTTTGGTAATGAAATCTCTGCAAAAAAACATCCAAGCTCACAGAGCACCAAGGACTCCACAAGAGTGTTGCAATCAGATTTCACTGCTTCTGTATGAATTGATTTGCTCATTCAATAAACTATATGATTCACTCTATGGTTATAGCGTTTGTCAACGTTTGATATTTGATCGTAATATCGTAAAACAGAAGATGTGGCATTAGAACCTGAGCTTCATCTAAAAAGGAAAATTTATCCTCTTTCTTTCAGAGGTTACTGTGTGCAAATGTTGTCCTATTGTGAACATATTTTGTGAATATATTTTGGAGCAGATATGATTGAGATGTTTACATATACCAGTGTCCATGCATAGATCTGAAGGAAACGTGGCTGCCTGAAAGCTCAATCAATATCTGCTAAGGGAGAACATTCTCTAAGACTCAAGCCATGATTATGATGATTACTTAGTACGTTCTGAAGTAATGAAAACCTCTGCTTGTATTTCTCACAAAAATCATGGTTTATGTATGACATTGTCACAACTTTAGACAGCTGGATTACTGAATCATCAATGAATATTATGACTCTCACAAATCTGAGATCCTAAGGGCTTCCCACTATAGGGTAGAATTAAATGGTTCACATTAGCACCACTCATGGGGAGAAAAAAATCTGTGCTAGGATCATGGGATTCTGCTGGCTAATCATAAACTTTTATTTCTACTGGTTATGTTTGCCATCAGTATGACTATGTCGGTATAGTTGTGTGGGATCTTCCACATGAAGTAGAATCTTGGGTCAATCAGTACTGCATTCTTTTTAACTGTTGCCAAACCCGTGGTTGCTGTAAATTGTAGCTGGTCCATATGCCATTAAGGAGGTGGAAGTCAGCTTGGTATGAATTGATGCATTATTTATTTACGTTTTAAGAAGGCTCATCTGAATACCTCTATTTTTAGTAAAAAAATATAGTTACAAAGGCAATATTCCCTTTGTAAACTTCATATGTTAAAACAAAAAGTCAGAGAGAGATTCTTCATTCAGCCAAGTGGTGCTGGTTGTCTATCCAGCCATAACAAGGATTCTAACTATAGTTACTTGAATGCAGAATGAACATCTTCCTGCAAGCTTTTTTTAAAAAAAAAATAATTTCAGAGGATCATTGGTAAAGATCATGAGTGAAACAATATTATAGACAATTCACCCTTCTTGTGTATTTGAACTAATGAAGGAAAACTTCTCAAAGGGATTAGTAACTCATGACTTACTGTCAGAGAAGAATATTCTATCTTTGATTCTATCCAGGGGATTCTGGATCCTTGATCCAGAATGTATCTAAGCCTTACCATAGCTGGACATATAGTTCAGAAGTACAATTTATTTTTGAGATACAAAGAACAGAAAGCAGTGCTTAAAAACACAGAAATGTTCAGGACAGAAATGTGGCTTGAAATTTGAAATCAGTTGAGTCTACCAAAACTGTACTGTCAAATGTTCTGAAATTCCAGCGTGTAATATTCCATGTCTTTGAGCAATTCCATTTGTAAAGTGGATGTCAAATATTAATAGATGTTTAAGATAGAATGAGTTTTAGTTTCCGCCCAAAGCAGTGATGTAATTTAAAATGCATATATTACCCATACTTGTTCCCAAGTATGAACCAGTTATTCTTTTTTTTTTAAACCAAAAATTGTGGATGTTTATGCTAGAGAAAAAGGAATTATGATTGCCATAGGCAATATCCATTTGTGAATACCATATCAATCTATTTTCTGTTCAGGTACAGGGAATCATGGAGAATCTGATTTTCCATTAAAGATTCTGAAACTTTATTAAACTTGAAGAAGGACTCCTTTTTTCTATGATGAAAACTTTGTATTAGCCCAGTTCCTGGAGTTTATAGAGTTCAACCAATAACATTTCATGTAACATTTCACTGGTTTCTTAAACTTAGCCAGAGTAATATACCCTGGCAGTTTTTTCAACTTCATCATAGCAACTGCTCAGATTTTTGTTATTATTAATTTTTTTTTAGAAATTCACAAACAATGAACACAACAGGAACGAGGTGTGGTTGAAAGAATGTGGTTGAAAGATATGATGATGATACATGTTCCTGTTGGTCATTTGGGGACAAACGCATATTGTTTCTTGTGTTCTCAGCAATTCAAGAAGTTTGACGAAGGGGTTCCCCCCCCCAAAGGTTGGTGGGTGGGGTGAAGACAAAAGTGAGATGGGATGCTTTAAAGTAGTAGCTATTACAACCTATGCATGTTCATTTTAGATAAATGTTCACATTCAGTGAGTTCTACAGTTCACACTTTACCCAGACAAGAGCTTTATACGTTCAGAAGATAAATTCCATCATTTTAAAATGCCCATAGTTACTTCAGATGCTATCTAGATATTTCAGGACTATTAATTTTGCCAAAGGACAGAAGGATGAAGCCAAGCTATTCACTCCTTGTCAGCTGGGCAATAAACATCATAAAGTATCAGTTAATTCTTTAGGTTAAAAGCCACCTTCCAGATAGTGCAGGATTAGCTGCTCACAAGATGGACCTGAATAGAATTTGCTTCTCCTGCCCCCCCACACACCTGACTAATCCTTGTTTTTCTAGTTCTGTGTTATTGCATTTGGCTGATTAGAACTAGGGCTTTGTTGTAGAAATTGGCCACAAACTAATTACATTCAGTAGGAATCATAGAGGAGGAGACACTAAAGACATCTGCAAGTACCCAAAAACAAATAATGATTTACTCCATTCTCCCTTTCACAGTTCATGGTAGACATATTATAGCAAACATCCTTCGGCATTAACACCATGGATAATGCTCACAAGGGAGACTGATTACAAGGGATCTGAGCGCTATAAGTTGCAGATCTGAATAAGCCTAACAAAGCAAGCAAGTAACTGTACTGTTTTCTTGTTATCCTTTGGGATATCAATACTAAAAATGTTGAAGGAAGAATCCTATCAATAAACATTTATTTAGTTGCAGATCTGTTTATTTATTTAATTGAAACATGCTTCAGGTTGGATCCAAAGAATTCCAAAGCTAAGAAAATCTGCTAAGTACAATTAATCAGTTTTCTTATTTTTCTGAACCTGAAGCCATTCTATTTTTGGCAATTGTTTTTTTTTTTTAAATCATATGAAAATTCATACAGCTTTTTCTACACACTTACACAAATATAGAATAGAATAGAATTCTTTATTGGGCAAGTGTGATTGGACACACAAGGAATTTGTCTTGGTGCATACGCTCTCAGAGTACATAAAAGAAAAGATACATTCATCAAGAATCATAAGGTACTACACTTAATGATAATCATAGGGAAACAGTCAATATAAATCATAAGGATACCAGCAACAAGGTTACAGTCATACAGCCTTAAGTGGGAGGAGATGGGTGATAGGAACGATGAGAAGATTAATAGTAATGCAGACTTAGTAACTAGTTTGACAGTGTTGAGGGAATTATTTGTTTAGCAGAGTGATGGCGTTCAGGAAAAAACTGTTCTTGTGTCTAGTTGTCCCTTTTATGTGCAGATTCCTCTACATTGTGTGTGTATGTGTGGATTTTGGCATATCCACATTTATTATCTGGATAAAATGTACATGTGCATTGAGAGTCAGTAGTAGATAAAGTCTTGGAATTTGATTTTTCTACTGACCCCAACTTCTAGTCCCTCATCAGTCAAGCCACTCTTAGTCACAGAAGCTTATTAGGTGATCTTGGGCCAGCCATCTTGAACCTTCAAAGAGAGAGAGAGAAGGTGTGCTTGCATCAAAAATCAAATGAATTGATTTCTGTTTCCATCTCTGCTGCACGTCCTGCTTTGACAAGCATGGGAACTCTTTACTTATGCAACAATACATTTTCTGTATTTTTCTGTCTGTTTCTGTTTTCTCACTAGGTATTACAACTGTCCTGACAATGACCACTCTCAGTACCATTGCTCGCAAATCTCTTCCCAAAGTCTCTTATGTGACAGCAATGGATCTCTTTGTATCAGTTTGCTTCATTTTTGTTTTTTCTGCATTGGTGGAGTATGGGACTCTTCATTATTTTGTTAGTAACAGAAAGCCAAGCAAGGATAAAGACAAAAAGAAGAAAAATCCTGTATGTATCTTACTGCAATATAAACAATGTTACAAACCCTGATTTTAACCATGTTTTCCAGAAATGAACCCTTACTTTCTTTTCTTTTCTTTTTTAGCTATATTAAACAGAAAGTGTGTGTAGAAAATTTGCTATATGACCAGGCATGAGTAGGAATGTAAATGGCAGATCTTCTTAGTATCCGATATAGAACAAAGATAGAACATAGATGGAGATCTGGAAGAAATGGAAATGGGGGAATCCTTTATATAGCACATTGGTGAGACAAGTCAAAAGCATAAGCTTGCATTCATTTTCTACTGACCCCAACTTCAGTGCTGCTCAACTTTTGTGGAACAAGCAGATAGATCATGCCAGAATTGCACTCTGCAACTTTTCTTAGGACCACTCTGAAAGACCCTCTTATTTATTCTCTTTATGGTTGTCTCAGAATCTTCAATTTATATTAACAGATTAAAAAGATTAAAAAATAAGAGCCTGTAGTACAGTGGACTAAAGCACTGTTATTAACATCTGCTGCTTGCAATTACTGCAAGTTCAAATCTCACCAGGCTCAAGGTTGACTCAGCCTTCCATCCTTTCTAAGGTAGGTGAAATGAGGACTCAGTTTGTGGGGGCAATAAGCTGACTTTGTATAAATATACAAAAGTATGAAGGCTATTGCTTAACGCATTGTAAGCCACCCTGAGTCTCCGAAGAAGGGCGGCATATAAATTAAAGCAAAAAAAAAAAAAAAAAACCACACACACACAAAAAACAAACAAACAAGGGAGGTACTTTGCATGGGCTGCCCGTTATAACGTTGTATATCATTTCTTTTAATGTATGTCAGTGGAAACCTGTTGCCTTTAGACCAGGGGTGTCAAACTTAAAGCCCCTGGGCCAGATCCAGCCTATGGGGTACTTAAATCTGGCCCACGGGGCTGGCCTGGAAATATCAAAGGACCCGCAGTACCTCTTTTGGCCAAAATGGACCATGAAGCCCCCCATAGTCCATTTTCTGCCTCCACAGCCTCCTGCAGCATTCTGTCGGCCATTAATATCTGGTAGAAAAGATAGGAAAATTGTTATAGTAAAGAACTCTGGAAAGAAAGAAGAGAAGGGAAAAAATGCATCTTAAGCCTATGTCAAATGCCCACTGATAGCCATGCCCAACCCAGCCATGCCCACCACCCATCCCCGGGCACGCACCCCCCCCCGACCCTCTGAAGTCAAGCACAACCGTGATGCGGCCCGCAATGAAATCGAGTTTGACACTCTTGTTTTATACATTGTTCTTAAAGTCCTGCATTCCTAAGCATAGAAATTTATTTTTGGAAGGTTTGTCGATTTCAATATCTGGAGGCTTCTACATTTCTTCCCCAATATAGATCTTGTTAACCTTCAAAGTGTAGAATTAACTTGCTAAGGTTGAGGGAAAGACTGTAGAGTTCATGTGTTTTGAATTTTAATTTTAAAAAACAGTATGTCTTTTCTTGTCTATTTTTTTCTTGTTTATCACCCTTCCTTTTATTTAATGGTCTATATTATCTCCCTATTTTTTCAGTTTATCATTTGTGTGTTTTATTAATACAACGTACTTGTTTTCTTGTGAAAAATTACACATTTGTTAGTGAGTTTATATGTGCTTATCTGCTTCAAGGGTTCATTCCGTGTTAAAACAATTAAGCAAGATCACCAGAAAATATTGAGTCCAATGTGCCACTATTGGATTAAATCAGTGGTGAAATCCATTTTTCTTACTACTGGTTCAGTGGGCGTGACTTGGTGGGCATGGTGTAGCTTAGTGGGTGTGGCTTGGTGGGCATGGCAGGGGAAGGATATTGCAAAATCTCCATTCCCACCCCACTCTGGGGCCAGCCAGAGGTGGTATTTGCTGATTCTCCGAACTACTCAAAATTTCTGCTACCAGTTCTCCAAACTGCTCAAAATTTCTGCTTCCGGTTCTCCAGAACCTGTTAGAACCTGCTGGATGTCACCCCTGGATTAAATGTATTGATGGATCTGTTCCTCAGATGCTAGACAGAACAAGTTTAATTTCCATAGACTTTTACAAACTTTTGTAATGAAGATGGCAGTCTATAGCCAATGGCATTTAAATCATCACAGAAGAACTCAAACTCTGTATGAGGTCAAAAAGAAGAGCCTTGGTAGCACAGTGGACTAAAGCACTGTTATTAACATCAGCTGCTTGCAATTACTGCATGTTCAAATCTCACCAGGCTCAGGGTTGACTCAGCCTTCCATCCTTTCAAAGGTAGGTAAAATGAGGACCCAGATTGTGGGGGCAATAAGCTGACTTTGTATAAATATACAAAAGTATGAAGGCTATTGCTTAACGCATTGTAAGGCGCCCTGAGTCTCCGGAGAAGGGCGGCATATAAATTAAAGCAAAAAAAAAAAAAGAGTTCTAAACTTGAGAGGAAAATAACTGAAGTGAGATTCTCTCTCCTTATCCCATGATAGCTTCAATGCTACCACTTTTCTGACAGCAGAGTTCTGACGCAGGAGATGTAAATGTGGATGGACTAACAATGGAAGATTTTAGACTAGTTGAGTCTCCAAACCCTCCAGTTGTCAAGAATATCCCTGGTCAGGAAACAAACAAACCAAGCAGGCTAGACCTAATCTAATGTATTTCTCTCCATTGCAAACAATGGAAGGAAAATTGTTATTATTTACTAGTATTATTTTAATGGCAGGAAGAGTAATAAAGACTGCTGTTTCATAGTAGAAACAGACTTGCTCTTTCATGGTTTTGTTTGTGTCTGTTTAATTTTTTTAAAAAAGTAGAACAGCTTCAAAGTCATTGCTCAAAGTACAAGATAATGTTTTTATATATATAGGATTTTCTGCTTTCTTCAACCCATGTTGTGAACTGGCATTTAGAAAGACAGTGGATTGAAGAAGAAAAACAAGAGGGATGGGTGTGGAAGCAAGAACAGTGCTTAGAAATCTGATCAAGTGTATTTTCTACTACTAAATGCTTGCAGACAAATCATAGCTTTCTTAATTTTAGAAATAGCTTAAATTAGAATTCCAAAATGTGTAATTTTGATTCTTTTTTTACATACATTCTTGCTTAATAGTCTATTTTAAATCCTTTTTCTGTTTGTTTTCTTTTAACTTGCTATAGTTTCAAATAGAATCTTTAATTTAAACTACTTTTTGTCTCCTTTTCCCCTCTTCTCCTTTTCTTTAATTTAAAAATTCTGATTTTATTTTTTTTTCTGTCTACAAAACCAAAGCTTCTTCGGATGTTTTCATTCAAGGTATAATATTTTTGGAATAGAAATCCACTGCATGTGACTGCTGAACTGAACAATTAGAGCTTCACTAGAGGTTTATAAAATAATTTGTGCATTCTACTTGAAACGGCCTGATGGTGAAGTAGAATGGATAATATTTAGAAATGAACATCAAGATGATTCAGCAGCCCAGACACTAATTCACTGCTGTTTTGAACTTATGCTAAGTTCAAAGGATTTGAATATTTGGATCCGCATGCATGAAGAGATCCTTGTAGAATATCCAAAACATCTATATTACTCTTTCACTCTTCTTAAGTTATCCATGGGATCCAATTCAGTGTGATAACCACACAGGAATTCACCATAAATTCTTTTAGGATTCATTTCTAAGCCTTAGTTATATCTTCTGAAGATTTACTAGCCAGAAATCTTTCAAAGATGTAAACTATTGGATGCCATTGGATGATCTTATAATTATTCTTACATATACCAGCAGAGTTTTGAAGGCTATAACATGCTTATATTCACTACTGTCACTAGCTCTCAAAATCCAGAGTGGAAAATACAGGGTAGCTGTATGTCATTGTTGAATATGAAATAGAATTCTGAAATAGATAACTTTTTAAATACCCAAGTAACAGAGTAAATGAAATGATCCTAATACATCTGAAATATTTTTTGTCTCCAGCCTTTATTTTAATAACATTAAAAAAAAAAAAAAAACTAGCTGCTAGTTTCAAGCAGTTTTTTGCCCTCAAAAATCTTTATCGGTAAAACATGATTGAAGTGATTGAACATATACAGCTGCCATATTTTGTCATGATGAAGCTTTCAGCTAGTGAACAGTTGTCAATTGAAAACTGCATGTTATAGAAATGCTGAGTTCCAAAAATCACTAAAAGCATCACCTAACCTATGTACAAATAACTCATCTGGTAGTATTCGACTTCCCATAACCAATTTTAGCTTATTTCACTATGTAGAAATACAAAGCATCAACTTTCAAATTGATGGGGAAACAAATATGATCCCTTTCCTCTATTGAACAGTCATTTTATAGCTAATAAGGGAAACAAATCATGGTGTTCCTATGGCTTCGTTTCTGTTTGGAATTAAGTCCTGCTGCGTGGCTGCTGTTCAGTAACATTTGGATTTAAGGTATAAGTGTTGGATTGTGCCTTTCCATTAATTCAAAATGATGAGTTCATCATTGTAGTAGCAAACCAGATTTTTAGCAAGCTGGTCGTGTGCCTGTTCTGTAGAGCTACTAGTTGCTTTGCACCAATTAGTTGAACGCTTTATAACAAAGCAACAACCGTTCATCATTGCCCTTTTTCCTTCTTGCCCCTTATGTATCTTAGGCACCAACAATTGATATCCGCCCAAGGTCAGCGACGATTCAAATGAACAATGCGACACACCTCCAAGAGCGGGATGAAGAGTATGGCTATGAGTGTCTTGATGGCAAGGACTGTGCGAGTTTTTTCTGCTGCTTTGAGGATTGCCGAACAGGAGCTTGGCGGCATGGAAGGATACATATTCGTATTGCCAAAATGGACTCCTATGCCCGCATATTCTTCCCCACGGCCTTCTGTTTGTTTAATCTGGTCTACTGGGTATCTTACCTTTACCTTTAAACAAGCAGAAAGGAAGTTGATGACATGAGCCTTATTGTTGGGATTTTATTAGAAGATTGGTTTCCTGTATTAATTCACTTCAGTGCCATGATATAGTGGCTTTGGTGCATATGAGGGGACTTAAAATAAACACATGGACTATCCTGCAGGCAGGAGCCATCCCATTCTCTTCTGCCCCAGGGAATGCGCTGCACATATATCATTATCCATGCATAGCATTCCTTGACCTAAGGAGGGAATGGCTCAGCCCTGGTCTGTTGAGCATCAAAGTTTCATGAACTTTTCAATTTTATAACATGCTTTGCAGTGATCTGAATCCTTTAATGCCATAACTCAGTAAATAACAACCATCAGATTATTTGTTGAAGGCTACTGTAACACTATTGTGACCTGGATGATATCATTCTTCATTTTTAAGTGCTATGATCCAACAAAGAGCCAGGATTATATTGAAGGCCACGTGAATCTCAGAGGAACCACGAAGAGAGGATCCACACCAACTCTTGAGGTTTGGGTGTCAGCATTTCAGTTATATATGACAGCAGGCACAATCTGAGATAAATGCTGTCTTGTGCATTAGCACTAACTATAAATGTGTGATATCTTTTGTCCTCTGTAGGCTTTTCTTTTTGGAAGAGTCATCTTTCACTTCAGATCAATGAAACTAGTCAGTGGGGAGAAGGCAGCTTTTCTTCTCACCCAAATTAAAAAAAAAAAAAAAGGAACTGCTGGGTGTCCTTCCTTAGAGCACATGTACAAACATTGTAAATATTTCACTAGCTTGTAGCACTTGGATCTAGTGCATGAAGATTTTTTGGGGTGGGTGGGTGGGTGGGCAAAATGAATAAAGCAAAGATTTCCATATATACAACTATCTTTTATTTTAGATCCCCTGCTTTGCTGAAAACTGTGGAGTAACCATTGCCTTCTTTTTATTTGTCTGGCAGAAATCCCTTCTCCCTCATGCATGGAAGATTTGAACAGACAGCACCTTTTTGAAGTTAGACAAATCTTAAAACAATTGAACAGAACACACATTGGTCCATGTGTGACCAACTTTAAAATTCTGTAATTTTGCTCCCAGTTCCTCATTTTCAACAGCAATTGGGATAGCAATTATTATATATATGATATCTATCTATCTATCTATCTATCTATCTATCTATCTATCTATCTATCTATCTAGGTTCCACCTACGTAAACCAAGATATTACACAGCCCTAGTTCAGTGAAATCACAATTCACTAGTTTCTGGGCTTCTTCTTCTTTTTTTTTTTTCCTTCTGGCAGCCAGCAGACCTTTTGCTGCCCTTTGGGAGACTAAGATAGATCTATTTCGGCCTTATAAGGCCTCATCAGTTAGCCATACCCTCATCTAATTCTGGTTGGCTGCCAGAAGGAAAAAAAAAAAAAGCCCAGAAACTAGTGAATTGTGATTTCACTGAACTAGAGCTGCATAATATCTTGGTTTACGTAGGTGGAACCTGGCTAGAGAGAAATACACATAAAACCTACGAAAAAGAAAGAAAAACATATATATGTATGTATACACACACACACACACACACACACACACACACACACACACACACACAGTATATATCAAGATTGGCTGTGGTCTTTTGAAGCCTTGCTCGCAGGAAGCATCTCCTCACCTACTTTGAATACTGATGATTGCTAAGATGCTTCTGCTAAGATGCACGAACTATCTGAAATGAACCAGGCCGAACAAAGCTCTGGCTACATTTGCTTTTTTGAGATACAGCAAACATTGGTTTTACAGGCAGCTGTTGGTATATTTTCATTTGAAATGAAACTCTAGACCTGTTGTTCACCATGCATTAGTGTGATGATATTTGTGCTTCCTTTCTTTTTGTTTTGCTTTGGGTCCCTTGGTTATGATAAAGGTCTCCACAGTTGACACACAAGCAAAAGACAACCAAAATAAATGACCAGACTAAATGAGAAAATCCATCATAGTATGGGGCTGCTCCAGCAACAACCAAAACCACCTAGATAATTCTTGAACTCATCAAGCTAGCAACTGAATTTGAAATATTCATGCAGTGCTCAGTTATGCAATCTTTAGCACATGTAAATATTTCTGACATGTTTATGGTCACAAATGGTAAATATCAAATAGGTTTGCAGACAGGAATGAGGAATAATCTGTATGTATATTATCACTGCAAAATCAGTGATAACTAATACAGTCCTAAGAAGTTCTAAGTTTCCCAATGTCTGTATAGTTTTAAAAATAAACATGCATAGAAAGGAATAACTGATTCCTGATCAATTGTTCCTTATTTAATGTACTTAAAAGAAGGAAATGCACATACCCATGGTTTTTTTTTTCCAATAAAATTGCTGCATTCAATATTACTACTGTCTTTGAGTGTGACTTCACTAATAACAAGCACATACAGTATGTTTGTTCAGAAATTTACAAATAAAATTAACAGATTAACAGAATTGGAAGGGACCTTGTAGGTCATCTAGTCCAACCCCCCCCCCCACCCAAGCAGGAGACTCTACCACCATTTCTGACAAATGGCAGTCCAGTGTTTTCTTGAAAGTTTCCAGTGGTGAAGCTCCCACAACTTCTGATGGCAAGCTGTTCCATTAGTTGATTGTTCTCACTGTCAGAAAATTTCTCCGTATTTCTAGGTTGAATCTCTCCTTGATCAGTTTCCATAAAATGCATCAGTGTATGCAACAAACATTTATGATTATCCCTATAGTGGTTAATCTCATCAATGAACCTTTTAAAAAGTTTTTGAAAGCTTTTGTTTTAGTCCCCTGCTTCAAAATGTCAGTTGATCAAAGAACACACTATTTGACTTTACTTTTTTGAGGCTTAGGTTTTTAAAATACAGTGCATTTTTTCTTCTATTATCTGCAGACTTATTTATATATAAGGCTATGCCCTATGATGATCATCGCCTAAGTGAAGTTCAGAATATCTATGGAGATTCTCAAACATCCAGGTCATGGTTGTCCCAAAGGTGCTTTTGCAAAAGGCAACTGGACTTTCATGGGTTTTTTTTCCTTTGAAAACATTTAACTTCTCATCCTTCAGTTCATAATAAAAACCCAGTGCTTAAAGTAGCAATAGCAATAGCACTTAGACTTATATACCACTTCACAGTGCTTTACAGCCCTCTCTAAGCAGTTTATAGTTCCCAGCGTATTGCCCCCAACAATCTGGGTCCTCATTTTACCAACTTCTGAAGGATGGAATCAACCATGAGCCTGGTGAGATTTGAAGTGCCAAATTGCAGGCAACTGGCAGTCAGCAGAAGTAGCCTGCAGTACTGCATTCTAACCACTGAATCACTGTCAATCTTAAAGTAGCTGATAATGTATGTAAAAGAAATGAATGGAAGAAAAATACAGCTAAGATTTAATAGAAAATAATGTGGATGAATGTGAAAGGGCTAGTTTGTGGGCTTACAATGTTTTCCATACCATTTTAAAAAATTATCCAATGGCTTTAGGTTCAGGATTCTGTATTCACTAAAGACAAAATACTGAAAAGAGAGTCCACTTAACATCATAGATATAAACACAGCATTGTTTATCACTACATGTCCTCTATTTTAGCCATTCCCTACTTCAGTTAAAAGTTCAGTAAGTCATAGTCAACCTTCCTGATTTACATTAGTAAATCTTGTCTTGGTGTCATGCAGAATATGCTAAGTTGTGTAAGGTAGAAGCAACAGCACCAAACAATTTTGGCCATTTCAGAAGCTCTCCTCCAAAATGCTCCATTAGATAAAAAAGGGTTCAATGGCAGGGAAATGGGCCACTAGGAAATCAAGATGAAAAAGGTCCTTGGGGTTGGAAATTTATAATGTGCCTAATAAGATTCATAATTTCCATCCATATGTCAGTCACAAGAAATCAGGAGCCAGAGCAGTTTAAATGAATACAGATTTATTGAATGCTAACACTCATTACAAGAATCTGAACTACTAATGGTCAAAGCAAATTAGTGGTAGACAATGACCAACTGAACTCAAGTAGACTGGAGTTAGATCTCTTGTGGGTGCAAAGGGACTTGAGACGGATGACAGTCTCCCTTGGGCTCAACCTGGTCATCTCCTACACCTTATTGGGGACGCATGACATGACTTTTGAAATTTATTGATGTATCATTCGGTATTCATGTTTAATTAAACATTTTTTTTAATAAAATAAAATACACATATTACATGGTGTAAGAAAACTGCTTACTGTATTCTGAACCCAAAATATTTGGAGATAGTTGCAACAAAGTATACTTTATTGGACAGCTTTACAGTAATCATTGGGCTTCTTGCCAGCAAATAGCAGGAGAGAGAGCCCTGAGCAAAACACCTCCTCCAATTATATATGTTTGCTTAATTACATTTGAAAGAATAATAGAAAGAAAGATAAAAGGCATAATACAATTACACTGCGACCCTGCCTTTGGAATGCTTCTAAGCTATTGAAATGACTTCCCTGTTGTATTTCACATTTGCAATAGTTTCCCTGAGATTATTAATATGTACACTAAACAACACTGTTTACTTTGCTGTCTCTTATTACACCATCCTGTTCCTCCTACCTAGAAAAACAGCTCTCTTATTTATGTAAACAATAACCTCTGGACCACAGCCATAATACTAGGAACTAGGTTACACAAATATACTGCTGCCGATTAACTTTATAAAGAAAGAGTTGCATGTGTTGAACATGACTGAATGTTATTATATCTCCACAAACAGAAGGCAAAATATGTATCTAATGTATTGATGGCCTTTGGATAAAATCTTGTATATTTATGAAGAAAAATGCTATTCTCCTTTCACTGATTTTTAGTCCCTAGAGTAATGGCTATGATGAGAAGGAATAGACAATTTCATTTTGAAATGGACAAATAGATCTATGATTTAGCCAACAACAACTACACTGGGTGCCAGTTGCTTCAAGATGTTGGTTTTATTGGTTATTCCCTCTAACGCCCAGCATGACATGGGTCCAGGTTACTTGAAGAACCATTCCACCCCTATGGGACAACTGTCCCACTCATGGTGGCAGAAGAGATATGCTGAGGATCCTGTCAGTCAAGGAATTCCAGCTGGCAGGATCTAGGAGAAGACCCTTCTCTGCTGTGGTCCCAGCCCTTTGGAACATCTTGCCCTATGAGGTGAAATTGTTTTCTACCTTCCTGACATTTTGCAAGAGCCTGAAACCTGGACCTGCCAGTTGGCTTTGGGACCACAATGAAGTAATATTACACTGGAGGTGGCTGATCAATTTAATAGCAGCTCCCACTCCCCACCCCCATATATTTTGCTCCTTTCCTCCCCATCTTTTAGTTATAATTGCTATTTTTTTATTATGACTTTATTGTGATTTTATACATTTGTACATATATTTGTGGTTTCATTTTGGCATTATAAGCTTCCCAGAGTCATCTTGCAGCAAACAAATTTAATAAATAATAAAATATAATATAAAATAATAAAATAAAATAAATTTTAAAATAAAATAATAAATTCACACACATTTATTGAAAGGGGTATAATACAATGGCAGTCATAGAATGGTCACAAGATGTTGCCTTTTCTTTATTTTATTGTACAAAGCACAATACCTAATGTTTATTTATCTCAGCAAACTTTAAAGCAGGAGTAGGGAGCCAAGAGTCTTTCATTTGTCAAAAATGACTAGGTTCAGAAGAGACACCATGGCAGGATACTAATGAAGAAGAAAACTGAATTTACTATCCCTTTCTTCAAGCATTTCAGATGGAATAAATACAGTCCACAGAAAAATCCAATAGCTCA